ACAGTAGTTCCATTATATCACATCACAGGCCTGAATTACATAACCTCTCTAGTACAATTTCTCCATCTGTAAAACAGGGATAGCTCCTGACCTGCACCACAGTGACTAAGAGGATTAAACATGTAGATTTCTGTATAGCACTTGAAGATGACCCCTGCTAAGTAATGGATTTAAACCCTACAGTATCCACACTTTATGCATTTCCCCCTGTTATCCAAAGCACATATTTTGGCAATATGGTAGGATTGATGAAGATTTGCTAGAAAGTTTTGGCTGTTAATTATTTGTTGAAATTAACATTCAATGTGTGGGGCACTTTGTCATTCACAATAGAGTGCATGGTATCTACTCCAGAGGACCCACTGACTTAAAGAACCGCAAAGGAAGTAGTGGTGGCATGAAGACTATAAAAAAGTTCTGTAAATAAAGAATAAAGTGGTCAAAGAAGCAGATGCCCACAAACTGTTCCTTAAGCACTTCCTTTAGACCATCATTCTTGTGGGCAAATACATAACTAGAAACCGAGTTTAAATGGACAAGGGATATTACTGTTCAGTTCAAAGGCTCTAATAGCAGCACTAGCAAATTAAGGAAACCATATTTTGCAAAAAACCTGTCACTTTTCGATTTAATCATCTTGTGTAAAAAACAGTTAGTCACACACCCTCTCCTTCTCACACCATGAACAAACCAGTAGGAAGAGCACAGAATTCTCCGCCCCCAATTCATACACAGGGCATAGGTAGCTCTGCAGCCTTTTCAGGGAGAGGATTCCTCACTTTAATATGGGGCATAATCCTGACAGGTTCCACCTCATAAGGATTGGTGACTTTGGCTGCATGTGACGACCCCTCCCTATTTCCTCCTACACACACTGGCAAATCTCTAGCTTACTCCCACTCACTATACAAGGTCTAGCTCTAGTAAGATTCACGGTACCCCCATATACCCACTCAGAACATAAGGATGTGGCAGCAATACTACAGTTTCAGTACTTAGGCATCTTTCAAGTGAATTCTTCTCTGCAGAAGGGCTGTAGAAAAGCCTGCTCCTGATTTTGAGAAAATGTGTCTAGTAAGAAGCAAACTAACCAGAGTACAGAAGATGCACTGGCATTGCGCTATTGTCGTCATCTGTTCCACAGGATACTCGCCAAGACAGAGTTTACAGGACACCAAAGGGTCAAGTACCAAGTCCCAGGTAGGCCTATATCTTGCTGTAGTCATTGCAGCGCAGTCTGAAACAAATAAAAAGTGCAAAATTAAAACACTTCATCTGTTTCCATTTGCTGTAAAGCTTTGTACATCTGTGCACTGCAGTTTTTGTTTTCAATTGCCACTGCTGTCTACCAGCTCTTAGGAAGGAAACACAGTACATCATTATTACCATTTAGATGCATCTACAATAGGTTAGGTAGCCCCTACCTGATGAAACACCTGATATACAGAGTGTGGAAAAAAGGGGTGTAATATACAAGCAGAGTGATAAAACAACTGGCAAGAAAACCTCCCACAAGCTACAGATTTTTCTTTAAAGCAAGGATTAATATGTGGCCTTCAGTCTCCCATTCAGTTGTCACTTCCCAATTGCTCTGGTTCTAGCAGCAACTGGGGTCTCTCAGTTCCTTCTTCCTCACACTACTCCAGGGATTGGGGCAAGACAAAGTGCCAGAGCTCATGATGCTGGGGGAGCCCATGCTCAGGGAACTGCGAGTGGGGTCCAGGCACAGCAGCTGTGTGGCATGATACAGCAGGGGTCTTGTGGGCTCATGCCATGATGGCCCAAAAGCATGTCGACAGCTCTGGCCTAAAGTTACAAAATAAAGCTTTTTTACCCCTCCTTGCTCATAATTCTACACACCTGTCCATCTTACACACTAATAACCACCTTCCTTATATCCACATTATATCCTTTGTTCCTTGTAAGTGCTAAATCCAATTTTTTTTTTAAACCTGAAACACATCCAACCCAATCCAAAGCTCACTGAAGTCAACTGTGGGTTTTGTCACCTGCCAGATTACAAGTTGCCCATCCTGAAGTGCTCAGTATTCAATGTGTTCTTTCCTAAACATGCACTGCATGGTGTTAACCAATATTTACTTATATTGTTGTTCCTACAAGCAGACACAGGCTGATCACATCACATTTAATTTTATAATGTGATGAATACTGAAAAGAACATAACTAAAATGTGCTATTCTTCAGCTATGCCCCAACATTCATTAGCGCCATGCTGCGCCATCAAGATTTAATGAGATGAGAAAGCAAAGCATGGTATCACTGGGATCCTGGACATCTGACAACCAGACTTCCTCATTAGTCTTCTCTATACATGTTGAACAAGAGGGAATAACAAGACAGAATCCTGTAAAAAAAACCTTAAGAGAAGGATCTGGGTTTCTCATACAATTGCCCATCACAATCCAGGAAAAAGTAAAGAAAAGAAAAAATCCAGACTTTACCACAAAAAGGAAATGAATCAAACACCTCCAGTGTTTGTTGATCCATACAATGCCATGGCTGAAAACCTAACTGCCTGGGTTCAAAGACTTGAAGGCTCCAGTTTATACTTTATGCCATTAATACCTTTCAAAACATAGGACATCCATAAAAAAGGGTGATGTTAAGGGAAAGATCTGCATCAGAAAATTGTTTTCAGGGTCTACATTAATTCCTTCCAAGTCATGCATTGTTTTCAGTCCCTTGCTTCCACCCTAGGAGATGCAGGCTGAGTACAGACTGTCAAAAAACCTGAGGCTGAACTGATTCAGTTTTTGCAGATTAGTCTAAGCGGTGTAGACTGAACTGATAAGCAAGAGAACAAACATTCACTTTTGATTCCAAGAAATGCAGCCACGTGTCTGCAGTGGCCCAGGACACAAGCTGGGGGGGTACTAAAGCACACCTCCCTGCTCAGCTAGACCAGACACTTTGGCCAAAGTTAGCCCACCCTCCGGGGGGGGAGGGAAGGAGGGGAGGTCAGGGGGGGCGCAGGGCAAGGCGGGGCAGTTTGAGGGGAGATACAAAGCATCATGGGACATTGGGAACTGTGAGTTAACTTGAATTTGGAGAGGATCTGGGACAGAATTTCAATAACCAATTTAGATGATATTGGTTTAAGTCTAATACTACATCCAGATTTATCTTAAACCCCTTTTGGCCACTTTGTGTACTGAACTTGTGTTGTGTTACAGATCTGAACTGGTTTCCAATCACTTATA